GATGGATGGATGGATGGATGATAAATGGATGGATGATGGATGGATGGATGATAAATGGATGGATGGATGGATGGATGATAAATGGATGGATGATGGATGGATGGATGATGGATGGATGATCAATGGAAGGATCAATGGATGATGGATGGATGGATGGATGATGGATGGATGAAGGATGGATGGATTGATGGATGGATGATCGATGGAAGGATCAATGGATGATGGATGGATGGATGAATGGATGGATGGATAATGGATGGATGGATGAAGGATGGATGGATGAAGGATGGATGGATGATGGATGGATGCAAACTGTAACTGAAGCCGATTATGTTGATTATTTTAATCAACTGATCTAAATAATTTAAAGAGAGGATGAACTTTAGCTGCTGTTCTAAATCTGGTGGTTTTCTTTTCCATATATGAATGTATTTTAGTTTTAAATGTTTTAATCAATTAAGTAAATAAATAAAAAGATAATCTTAGTAAATCAATTTACTTAAAAAATAAAAAATGTGAATGAAAACATTTTTTTACACATTTTAAGGGATAAAACATTTTAAATTCTGAGAAACTTCTTAACCTTTATCTTTTTAATGATTACTGGATAAATGAATCAACTGATGATTATTTATTAATCAGACTGATCATTTCAGCTCCATAGAGAAGCAGAGCGTTTCTCAGAACGCCGTTAGCCCCGCCCCCTTCTGCAGCTCAGTGGGTGATTAATGGAGCTGTGCTGCCTCCGTCTAAATCTCTGCTCCTTGGGGTTAAGTGTGACTCTAAGGCGACCTTAGGAGGGAGCATCAGCATGCGTGAGTGATCTGGACGCGGCAGGACTTGGCAAGCGAAACGGTGTGACCTGCTGTGAGTGCAGAGCAGAGGAGTCCCAGCACACCTTCTGCATCCAGATCCGACCCTTCCTGATGACGTGCTTCAGCCGCTCCACGCAGACGGCGTGCAGAGGCAGGTAGAAGGCCAGCTCCGTCTGAGGCAGGATGACAGACAGGGCACATGTGTTCTTATCCCCCTTCAGCTCGCCGTCGAAGATCAGGGACACGATGATGACGCCCTTCTCTGCAAGCACGAAGAACTTCACGTCCACGGCGCCGCACTCTGCGCTGCGGAGGATCTCTCCGTTCAGCGTGTGGTTGGCCAGGAAGGTCACCTCTCCGTCACTGAGGTACATCAGCTGATCGCCCTTGGGAGCCCAGATGTGGTGAACCCGGGGGCCCAGGATGTTGTCCCAGTAGGCGAAGGTCGCAGCCAGCAGAGGGCATTCTCCCTCCACCGCTACCTCCGTCTTTTCTACAGCCGGCGACTGGGGGGGGCAGCCGGAAGACATGGCAGCGGCCCTCGGAGCTCCGCCGCACTTCTTATGTTCACCTGCGCCATCAAGCAGAGACCCAAGTCAGAACTCCCAAACCTCACATTGAGTTCAAGGACTTTCCAGGACCACATTATTCAAAATCAAGAACCATTTTCTGTAACATTTGTTACCATCTGTAGCAACGGTTTGTAGTTTCTGTTATTTCATATATTAATTTATGCTATTTACTCACTATTTACTATTAAAGTTTTCACTGCTCCTGTTTCTCCTGCAAGGCCTTAGAATTCCCCTGCGTGAGGCTGTTTTTAGACCAGACATACAAGCCAGATTCTTTCTCCAGGTTTATTCATAACATGTTACTGTTTAGCCAAAGTGGCTATAATTTGTTTTGACTGACATTGTACGTAAAGCCGGGCGTACACTGTACGATTTTTTGCCCTTTACGGGCCGACTTTTCAGTCGTGCGAGAATTTTTCGATCGGGCCAACTTTCAGCCTGATGGTGGGTGGTGTAATGAACAGGGGGTAACGATCAGCCTCTAACGACCACCTCCCCATCAGGAATCGTAAGATCAGGAGAAAATCTGGACAGGCTGATGGACAAATTGGTGGACAGGCTGGTGGACAGATCGGTGGACATACTGGGGGACAGACTAGGGGACAGACTGGAGGACAGGCTGGGGGACAGACTGGGGGACAGACTGGTGGACAGGCTGGGGACAAATTGGTGGACAGGCTGGGGACAAATTGGTGGACAGGCTGGTGGACAGACTGGGAACATATTGGTGGACAGGCTGGTGGACAGATCGGTGGACATACTGCGGGACAGACTAGGGGCAAGGCTGGGGGACAAATTGGTGGACAGGCTGGGGACAAATTGGTGGACAGGCTGGTGGACAGACTGGGAACATATTGGTGGACAGGCTGGTGGACAGACTGGGAACATATTGGTGGACAGGCTGGTGGACAGACTGGTGGACAGATTGGGAACAACTTGGTGAACAGGCTGGTGGACAGATTGGGAACAAATTGGTAGACAGGCTGGGGACAAATTGGTGGACAGGCTGGTGGACAGATTGGGAACAAATTGGTGGACAGGCTGGTGGACAGGCTGGGGACAAATTGGTGGACAGGCTGGTGGACAGATTGGGAACAAATTGGTGGACAGATCGGTGGACAGGCTGGGGGACAGGCTTGTGCTTTGATGTCCTTAATGGACCAATGAAAACAGAGGAAGAGGATTTTCTCTCTGTTTCCTTCCCTGACTTCCTGCTCCTTCCTGGATGACTAAAGGAAACCTGCTGGAAGCTCAGAGGAAGCTCTGAATGAGAAGCAGGAAAAGGAAATGAAAGTAGAACTTCCTCCTGTCAGCTGATCTTCTAACAAAAACAACATGAAGCTTTTCTATTAAAATTATCTACATGACCGCCGCGCTCCTTATTAAGGAACATTTCTGACCATTTGAATTCCTCCTAAACATGAAGCAGAAGCTTAGAAAGATGAAATCAGCGGTTTGCTGACTAAAGCTATTTCTGTAACCGAAAATAGATCAAATGGGTCTGACTCACCTTTCCGCTCCTCTCTGGCTCCAATCCTTCAACCAAAGCTCGTCTGAAACCAGATTCTGCTGATATACATCTGCAGTCAGCTAATACAGGTTAGTTACAAGCTGTTTGCTGCGGTCTGTTGTTGCTCTTCCTTCTACGTCAGACGTACGTCACGAGCAAAAGGGGCAAACAGCGACCTCTGCTGGTGGAGGAAGGGCGGTGAACTGCAGATCAATGATGTCATTAGCTGTGTTTAGGCTGCAGAAAAATGGAGCATCTCCTCAGACAGAAATAAAATGTAATTTTCTCTTCCTCTGGGTCACAACAACCAGCAAAACAGGCAACTTGACTTACATCTGAAAAAAAGTGTTATTTTTAGATAAAAAAAAAAAAGTCAAGTTTCAACAATTCACAAATTTGCAAGTGGGATGATTTGATTAAAGCTGCTCTCCTCCTAACCAGTTGGTGGCAGCAGGGGCGGATTAAGGAAATTTGGGGCCCTAGGTAAAGACAGGCATTTTAGCCAAAGGATTTTTGTCAAAAACATAGTTAATGTGCACAAATAAGGAATAGTTGTAATAACAATACAAACAAGGAACTTTGGGCCTTGGGCAACTGCCTGATATTGCCTAATGGTAAATCCCCCCCATGGGTGACAGTAAAGCGCCTGAAAAAAAGTACATAAAAAAGTTAGTTCAAAAGAAAAACATTTAAACTGAACAAAAAAGCTGCATATGTTAGTGAAGCATCATGTACACTTTGAGAGAACATTGAGATTTTATTTGAAATGTAAAGTGCATTACAAATTATATTTATTACATTCCCAGGACCCATGGTCCCTGAATGCAGCAGCTGGGAATAGGCCGTTCAGCCAGAGCGTTGAACTCTATAAAGCCTGGAACTTAACGCTATTTTTGACATTGTGAAATTAAAAATCTTCCTCAAAGGGAAGCGAAACATCTTCAAACTTGGGTTTAAAGTCCAGTGGATTGTTTTTCTAAAACTTTTTTGGAAAACTGTGGCTATGGATCCACATCCGTCACCTGAAAGTAAAAAAAAAAAAATGATTCTGAAAAGTAGTTTTTTATTTTTATTTTCCAGGATAAATTTTACTTACAAATTTTATGGACCAAATTTAGCTCCATATCAGTCTCCTTCCCACAAATGTTAAATAATTGTAGTGAAAGAACTTAGATAAAATCGAAGCTGGAAAAAAAGAAGAGAAAATACAGTTTTTATAACAAAATCTGAAAAAATATAAAACTGTAAGAATATTGGTTGAACTTTTGCATATACATCTCAGTTTCTCTCAAACTCCCTTCTTTTGTTGATTAGGAAATTTTTCAAAGTCACATTTTTAAATGCCTTCTCTTAAAATTTCTCTTTTTAAAAAATAATCTTTGCTTTCGATAAAATTGGAACAGATTTCTCTCCATAAAACACAAGGCTCTTTACTGCTTCCTGTTTGGACAAATCAGACATGTAGAAAGGGTAAACATTTCTTCCTTTTTTAACTGATGCAGGAACAGATTCATGGAATCCACCGAAGTCACGTCTCCAGTCAGCCTCACGGCTGCATACCTGTTCCTTGTGGGTCTGTGTGGTAGAAACTAAAGCACAGAGATGCTGGAGGCTTTAAAAGCCAATTCTAAGCCTGGATTGCTCCAGACTTCACTACTAATGCAAACATATACAGTCAGCTCAGATTATGTAACACAGCTTCTTTGAGAGCTCATGCAGCATAATGAATGGTTCTGCCCTAATGCAGGTTTCTGCTGCTCTGCCCTGTTCTTTTCAATAATCTCCCTGGATATCAGACTGCAGGTGGTGCCTCTCCTCATCATCCGATACTTTTCAGCGATTTTCAGTTTCCTCTGAGACCCTTTAAGGCCTTCTTGATCCCAAACACCAAATCTCTCTAAATAAACCAGAAATGGACAGGCTGCCAATGTCAACCACCTTATATGTTGTTTTGTTTTTGTCCAGTTATCAGAGACCAATCCTTCCCTAAACCCCTTTTACTCCTCATGTACAGCGAGCTTCCCGCTGGGCATGTTTGGATTAGCCTGAACAGATTGATCAGGCGATCATTGCTGCTCTGGGTTTACTTCACAACCATTAGCTGCCTTTATCGCCCCAGTCTGAGTACGGATCGAGCCCGATCAGTGCAGATAATGGCTTACAGTGAGGTGGAAGAAACAGCAGGAAAAACTTCAGACGAATCGGCTAAGAACCCAAAAAAAAAAACGTTATATTAAGACACAAAACACAGTTTTCATTTGCAACTAATGATGAGACAAGCCAAGTTTATTTCTACTGTGCAGTTCAGTGCAAAGACAGCTGTGCTTTACAAGAATTAAACAGCAAAATAGAAGCAAAAGATAAATGCAAGATTAAAAATATGATAAAATCAGGTAGTAAAGCAAATAAAAACAGTTGAACTACAACCTTAAGCTAAAAATACCTCAGTTAAAAGTTTAACTCCAACAGTCAATCAATAGATCATTATTCTAAAAACGAATACATTCGCTGTGATTTAATTAATTTAGCGTTAATCAGTAAAAAAAATGAACAAACACTTTCATCACGATCACTGAGTCTGGGAGCGGCCATTTTTGCCCAAATATAGCAACCCCTCCCTCCTGCCATCTTCCAGCAGTGACGTCACGCGGCGGTAAGCCTAGCGCCATTCTCCCCGCTTTACAAGCAAAATCAATGGGAACTACTAGACACATCTGCAATCAACAACAATTATTGAAGTGAAACTGACAATGCCCACGTGCATGGCAGCTAGATGTTGGAAAACATCGGGTAAAAGTGGAAAAAAAAAAAAAAAAAAAAGAAGTTATTTCAGGGAAAAATTAACGTGGGGAGCCAGGAAAAGATGAGGACCCAGTACTGAGGAACTGCTCAGGGAGAATAAATGTGGGAGGCAGAGCAAAGACTGGACTAATGAGCTGATTGGGAGCAGGTGGATGGAAGCATCTAGAAGGAAGCCAAGGGGAAGGGAAACAAACACAAAGGGGGAACAGAGTGTAACTCAAGAGCAAAATACTGCTTGAAAACAACTACAAATACAAAGAAACTAAAAATAAACTTAAGGGGGCATACACAGTGCGATTTTTGCCCTTTTCAGACAGAGTTTCCAGTCGTGCGAGAATTTTTTGATCGGCCCGACTTTCAGCCTGATTGGTGTCATGTAGTATACAGGGGGTAACGAGGGGCAATCAGCCTCGAAGGACCACCTCCCCATCAGGAATCATAAGGTCAAACATGTTAGAAATTCAGTCGGCCGTCGTAAGGTGGTTGTGGGCAAATCGCTCAGTGGGCAAACTAGGATTCTTTTTCTTCCTCTCAGATGAAAACCCAGAAGCATGGTGGGGGTGCAATGAGTGAAATGGAGTTCTTTCTGTAAAAGTGACAGACCATAGTAGCCACGCGTGTTCAGCCATGTCTTCGTCCAAATACGTTGTCGCTTTTTCTTTTTAGGGCTTTCAGCACAAAATTGCACAAATTGCCAAGGCAACGCGTT